ATATAGATATCTTCGAAATCAGGGCTTTGGGGTGGATACATGTCCAGGATACGCACAATGTTATCATGGTCAAAAGTCCTGATGTACGATGGTAGTCATACTTAAAGAGGCACGCCGGCAAGTACCTCAATAGCTTAATCTCTCTGAGGATACGTTTGGCATCAATTAAATCATCAAAGGCATTCTGTACCTTTTTCACCGCAACCTTGTGGTCTGATTAGAGCAGAACAAACGACTCTGTCTTCACAAAACAAAAGACATAAACGCACCTCTCCCATCACTGAAGCTCGCTACTGTTCCATAAGCGCCCGAACCCACCTTACGAATGAATTCCATGTGCCTTGGAACCTGAGAGTGATGCCCGTTGAGAAGCTTAGATGGGGGCCGCTTACAGTGTAGCTGGTTTTCCCATCAATATGGACTTGTTTCATTTCATCGAGATAAGTCATCCCACAAACAGTCTTAGAGTGGCAACAGGCGGGAATACAAACAGCAAACGCAAGGGCTGAGGAGGCTCATCTGCTCGTCTAGCCAGAAACTCTCGGTGCTAGTCTACACCTTTAAAACATCTAGTTCGTCTTTGGAACCATCAATTTCGTCGGGACGCGCGAAGTTGGAGGTACGAATCCGAAACGGGAAGATCATATTCGCAATTAGAACTTTCAACTTCGTCATAGAACATTCAAGTTCGTCCGAAGTCGATAGGAAGTTCAAATTCGTTCTAATAGAACTTTCAATTTCGACTTTCGAACCTTCGAATTTGACATAGAACTTTCAATTTCGTCGAGTATACCTTCAGACCTCCAATTTCGTCCTTTTAGGAAAATCGACTTCGTCGTTCGGAACTTCAATTTCGTGTTACCGGGGCAATTATGCCAGTACTCTAACGATGAGGCTCGTGTTTTGCTGACCGTGTCACTCTTCCGTGGGCATCATGCAGAACCAAGCCTCTGCGACACCCATCCATGCGGCCGCTGCTCCCGCTCACCCCGTCATATCTCCTGACCGCGCGCACATGGCTCGAGAACATGGCGAGGAGAACATGGCGAGGAGGGATCGTTCCGCTGTCACAGCTCGCTTCTGCGGGCATGCTATTGGGTTGTTGAGTAAAGCAATCAACCACGAATACATGCCTGCCGGTGGTTGACTATGTCGTTTTCTTGATCGAGCCAGTCATATGAGTGGCTGCCAGCTACTGGCTGGCCGCACTATTCATGTGACATGACATTGATATGAGGATTTTCAATAGTGCCTTCGTTGTTGCTGTAGTACTACTTCGGTTGTGTACCGCGAGCACTAATCATAAGCCTCACCATCAGAGTACTGGTATGATTGCCCCGCAAACACGAAATTGAAGTTCCGAACGACGA